ATTAGCTAAGACATTCTTTCTTTGTCCCCCATAGAAATCTAGTCTTAATAGATGAAGCCCTCCTACTAAGTAAGCTTTTTTTTTTTTTTTGGCCGGTTGTGAGGCCTGAACTCTGGGCCTGGGCGCTGTCCCTCGGCTCTTCAGCTTAAGGTTAGTGCTCTACCACTTGAGCCACAGTGCCACTCCTGGCTTTTTCTGCTTATGTGGTGCTGAGGAATTGAACCCAGGGCCTCATGTATGCTAGGCAATCACTCTACCACTGAGCTACCTTCCCAGCCCTAAGTAAGCTTTCTAAAAAAAGAAATTTCAATGTAATACAAAATAGATTCTGTAGATTATAAAGCCATAACTTGGCAATTAAGAAATCCAGAGTTTATTATTAATTGGCTTTCTATAATACACTTTTTTGAAACATCATGAAAAATATTAAATGTTTTACTTAGTATCTTCTTAGGAAACAACCAATTTTTATGTTTTTGTAAAACATTAGAGGTAATATCAAGAAGTAAATATTGTCTATCAAATGTTATACTACTAGAAGTATTTGTGTTTTTATTACAAATTTTTCAGATTATTCTAAATTTTGGAAAACTTTTTGTAATCTCTAAGACTGCTGTTCTTTTTTTAAAATATACCCAAGTATATTCTGCCCCCCCCTCTTTTTTTTTCCTTCAAATCTTACCATCAGAGACTGGAACTTTGTGTAGGTTTTACTAGAAGACCAGTTTCTTCCACATAGCATGAAAACTTTGTGCTACTGCAGTCATTGCTTCTAGGATACTTATAAGTTGACCCAGCTCTCAAGTGTCTTCATGCTGCTTTCTGAATTAGAAACTAGCTGTTATAGGGGCTGGGAAGGTGGCTCAGTGGTAGAGCACTTGCCTTGCATGCATGAGGCCCTGGGTTCGATTCCTCAGCACCACATAAGCAGAAAAAAAAAACAAAAGCCGGAAGTGGCGCTGTGGCTCAAGTGGTAGAGCACTAGCCTTGAGCTGAAGAGCTGAGGGACAGTGGCCAGGCCCAGAGTTCAGGCCCCACGACCAGACCCAAAAACAAACAAACAAAAAAAAAGAAACTAGCTGTTATGAACTATGCACATGTACAGATATCTGAAGCCATTTTTAGAGAGCTTGAGTTCTGTTGTCTGTGGCCTGAAGAGATCTATGCGTTGTTAATGACTAAGCCACGATAAATAAATGTCTTGATTAGCGGGCAGCTGAACCTTTTTGACAGTTTTGACTCCTTCCCTGACTGAATTTGCATAATTCTTATTTTGATCATAATAGAGTCTTTCCCAATCTGTTTGGGGGCATCAGGAGTGGCTGATACAGTAGAGTATGTGTAGACAGCATGCCCTGTGCATGGTATGTCATAAAATGATGCTCTCCTGCTTCTATAGTCACCAGAATCACTGAAATAAGGGATTGATGTCCAACAATATTTTCTTCCCCTGCACTGTTCACATGGAGTAACCTGTGAGGAAACTGATTTCCTCATTGTCTGTGGAGCTTAGCAGACATTTAGTAAACACCTACTTTGGACATGGCCACTCTAAGAAAATGTATTGTTGTTCTATCTTTGAGATAACATAGTCTTATGTTTTATATTTTTCTGTCCTGCCTGCACATCAGAGAGTCTCCAAACTTGTGATTGAGATCCACTTTGTTCCTCTTTAGAATGTGCACATAAAGGAAGCTGTAGTTACCATTTGCCCACCCCAGCTATGAAAGGGAAGGGCAGGCTCAGCATAGCCAAAGGTTGCAGGATGAGGATGGTGAAGGAATATCCTTCACCTTCTTTCTGTGATTGACAAGTTCTCCTCCTCAACTCTTTTCCTTTTGTGCATCAGACACTTCCAGGAGGAATACAGCCTCATGCAGGGCTTCCTGAGGAAAGCACAGTGCTCCTCACTCACATACTGATACTTATGGTGAATGTTCTTAATAGACGAAGAACCTAACTCTATCTATTCATTTCTTCGGTTTCTTCTTTCTTTTTGATTTAAGATTGCACTTCAATAAAGTAGCCATCCCTCAACATTTGTAAGAGGCAAATGAAATGTTTCCATACTCCCTTAAAGGGCCCACTTCATCAAGGTCCTCACCTAATTGAACTTGTTGAGCTGCTGAATGTAGTGATAGAGGATATGGACTAGAGACTCCTTCTATCCCTCTGGTAGTTGAAAAGCAGGTTGGAGGAAGTATGAGGAAGGAATTTCACAAGCTTCTGGGTCCAATCCAACTGCCAACACAAAAGTAAAAGTCAGTGAGTCCTGTCATTGGCTGCTGTAGGAAGTGATCAATGTCCTTATCTACACCAATGAACTTCTTTGGCCTTAATGGAGGGAAGGACTGAAATGACTTCCCTTTTCAGAGAAGGATTTCCTTTTCAGTTGTCTTGTCCTTTAAATTACAGCATAATGACTAGGGATTTAGCTCAGTGGGAGAGCACTTGCCTGACTGTGCTGTTTAGTCCTCTGGCCTGAGTTCAGTCATCAGCTGTGAAAAAAAGATTACAACATAATATCCTTCTGTATTTGAAAGGGCTTTAGAGTTCTAAACAACTGTTCAACATTTCTTGCAGAGCATATCCCCAGAATCTAGAAACAATGAAGTTGACAGGAATAAAAATGAAAGTCAAGTCAGGAAAAATCTATGGCTTCCCTTTCTTCTACCAGCAGATCCTTGAATTCAACCTCTGATCTCAGGAAAAATATTCCCATTTGGATATACAGAGGTAAAATTTACCCTTATAATACCCCCCAAGGAACCTTGGCTGAATTGATTACATTATTTTTAATTACTTGGGATTTTTTTCCCAAGTAATGATTATTTTGAAACTAAAAAGTATGTGGAAACTTTGCAGAAAGAAATACTTCGTTCTTCCTGATTTCTCATAATTGTGGGAGATGGAAAGGGAATTGTATCACTGGAATCTTTACTTATACACAATAGATTACAAGCTGAGCTAGTTTCTATAGGAAAGGGATTTAAAATATAATGAAAAGATTATAGTTTGCTCAGAAAAGCTGGAGAAACAGGTTGAAGTTCCAAAATAGTCTCCAGGACTCATCATACATTGGCTCCGTCAGCTCTTTAGCTAGCTCTCTTGCCACCTGTACCAGCAAATCATGCAGTGTCCACCTACATACCTTTTCTCCTTCTTACTAGTTCCTAATCTATCTCCTGAATGTGTGTCAAAGTAATGAAACCCAGGCTTGAGTCTGTCCCAAGCGGCAAGGGTGGCTGGAAAGTGACATTCCTCTCCCATTGCAAGAGGCAATCAAAGTGTGGATTTAGATGTTTTCCCCAGGACTATAGTAGCAAATGCAGCACAGAAATTCTCAGTTGTGGGAGTTATCAGGAAGAGTTTAATGAAAAGTTAAAATAGATTAAATGTAACTCTGTAAGATAAATGTTTATATAACTATTCTCCAAGTGTAAGCCAGGCCCAAAGAAACATAAGTCCCATCATTTTCCTTATTTGCAATAACTAGTATATGTCTGAGACAAGCAGAAAAACCCAGATAAGATGATGTTAAGCTAAATGAACCCCAAGATAGGGACAAAAGTGTATTTTTTCTTCCTTGCTATTGTTTCTAACGTATTTATAAGGTGCCATGTGATTTTTTTTTGTCGCTTTTTATGTCCCTCCCCGATGCTATAACCCATTTTCAATGTATTTGATGTTGGTATAATTTGGGGAGGAGAAGGGGGAAAAAAAAGTGTTTAAATAAGGATACAGATTGACCCATTGCAACAATGAGATGTACAAGGCGCTATGTTGAAAAACGAACTTTACAATATAGGCGGGGTTGGGAGGAGGTGGGGGGGTAGGAGGTGGGACGAGATGGTAGGGGAAAAACAAAGGAGGCAACAATGCTGGATAAGAAATGTACTCATTACCTTGCTCTTGTAACTGTAACCTCTCTGTACAGTATTTTCACAATAAAAAAGTTTTAAAAAAAGAAATTAATCACTACTTTACTTATGTAACCCCTCTATATATCAACTTTACAGTAAAATTTAAAAGATTAAAAAAAAACTCTTCTCCAAGTGATTTAGATATGTCTGTATCACTATTCTATGTAATTGGTGAAACCCACCAAACACTGAAAAGGGGAGGGGATAGAAATATAAACATGTTGAAAGTACACTGTATATACCTATAGAATTATCACAATGAAACCCTCTCATAAAAATACTCAGATAAAAATTTAAAAGTGGTTCATCTAATTCTTTTTAATGCGACATTCTCTTGTAAAGGTTTTGTATTTTTCCTTGACATAAAGACCTTTGAACTATAATGTCAATCCATCTCATAAAGAAACAAACCAAGTTTCATTAAGACTTCAATTTAGTTCTAGATTTTGTGGCATTAATTTACATAACCTCTTTTTTAGATTTTTGTAGAAATTTTCCTTATAAAAAATCAAACTATCCTTTTTAAAGAAATAGGCTTATTTCGTGTGCAGACTTTATTCCAGAAAGCAACAAAATACAAGTGGTTTCCTAGTTGTAAAACTCCTGTTAATGGAATTGTAACTCTGGTGATGCTAAAATTGACATAGAAGGATATGATATGACATCAGTTTTCAGTCATTTTTTAAGGTTTGACTAGCAGTGCTTCCTTTTTGAATATTCAAGATTCTAAATGAAATATATAGACATGTAGAATATGAACAGGTAGGTGAAATAGTAGTTTTAAAATCTGTTGACATTGAAAAATGCTCATCTCTTCCATGTTTCCAATTCATTCTTTGGATTTTGCTTAAAACTACAAGCTAATTGCAAACTAGACAAGAATATTTATATACCATGGAAAAGAACCAGGAACCTTAATTAAAAAGAATTTTCCCCAGTTCCTTGGCAACAAAAGATGACTTAAAAACTTCTTCTTTTTACTTTTTAGTTTTTGACCTGAGTAAATAGTTCCTTTAAATACATTGCTTGATTGTGTATCATCTATTTTTATTTATATGTCTTTTTACTGTTCTACAGGGAGTCAAATACCTGTGTATTCCAGCAGCAGACTCACCATCTCAAAATCTGTAAGTTTTTTTCTCTGTATTATTGGAGGTATTAAAATTGAATACAGGAAAAAATTGAATACAGGAGTCTAAAGTTAACTGAGTGAAGGATTATGTGAACCCCTTATGGCGTTGGTGTTACGGCCCAGTCACTGGTCCAGGGAAGAAAACATGATCCCGTGAAGTTGGAGTTGGACAAACTAATGGCTAGAGGCACGTTGTTATTTTCTAGTCCCACTTGTAGAACACTGTCTACTTTTTCAGGAATCAAGCCTTTAGTATGCTCATCTTTTTTCTAGAAACAAACCATTAAAGAAGCTAATTGGAGCCGGGCGCCTGTGGCTCACACTTATAATCCTAGCTACTCAGGAGGCTGAGGTCTGAGGACCACAGTTCAAAGCCAGCCCAGGCAAGAGAGTCTGTGAAACTCTTTATCTCCAATAAACCACTCAGAAAACTAGAAGTAGCGCTGTGTCTCAAGTGGTAGAGCACTACCCTTGAGCTGAAGAGCTGACAGTGCCCAGGCCCAGAGTTCAAGTCCCAGGACCGATGCCCCCCCCCCAAAAAAAGTTAGTTGGATTTTATCCTAAGCAGAAATATCTGATAGAAATAGAATTTGAGCTATAAATACAAGTCATACAAGTAATGTTAATTTTCTAGGAACCACATGTTAGAAAACAAAATGAAATAGACAACATTAATTTTAATAACTTACTTAGCATATCTGAAATGAATATTACAGTATGTAATCTATCAGAAAATTCACAAGATACCTTACATTTGTTTTTTTCAGGCTAAATCTTTGGAATATACTATATATAGTTACACTTCTAGGTCATATCAATTTGGACCAGAGACATTTCCAGTGCTCAGTAGCCATGTGCAGCTCTCAGTCACCATGTAGGATAGCATACTCTTAAAGCTATTTGAGTTGAGTGGCTGGATCTTTCTGGCTGAAGAAAGTCTAGTTTTCTGTTTCTTCACATCTAAATAAATATTTGGTGTCTTCTTATCCTTTGTGTATCTATAAAGAGAGATGCACAGTTGTGAACTGTCCAAACCACCACAGTAATCATGTGAATGGAGATGGATAGGCCAGGACCATGGAGGCCGATGGCAGTTACAACCATAATGTTTGCCTTTACTGTCCAGGAGTAGCCCAGAGAGACTGTGTGGTAAAGAAAAGTTTTGCTAAAGCCTGGATTTGCTTACAGGCTGACAGCCTAAGAGTAGATTAGCTACTATGTATATACTTCACTCATCACAGCTTCAGATTCTCAGACTGGTATGTGCTACACACTTGGGGTAGGGAAAGAGAGGTTAAGACACACTAGCCCTCATACAGTCACATATTCTTGCAGTTTGATAGGAGTTTTGTATCCTGGTATGTTCGGAAATTTGGGAATCGCAGCCTTGTCAGAATTTATCCGTCATGGCTCTCAGATATGGTGCTTACTAATCCTGCAGGTCATTAGTACAGGCTGCATACTTGTGTTTCCTAGCCCAAGTGACCTGCCTCTTTGATGCTGGAGTATAAGTCAAAATTTAGTTTTTACTGCTGAAGAAAAGAAATCACAGGATTTGAAGTAATTTTAAGAGGTCTGCTTGTTTGATAAAATGGGATAGAGTCAGATGGATTGATATGGCCAGAGAGGGGAGAGATGGTATAGAATTAGACTAGACAAGTGGGCAACTGGGACTGATAACTTGTATTGAAGGGTTGTTCTACACTGTCTTTTGAATATCACAGAAACATGAACCTTTAAGATTGAGGAGGGTGGAGTAGAATTCTTACTAGGAAAACAAAGTAGTAGCCTATTCTTGAAGGAAGAGAAGAAGCACTGGAGAACTTCCCTGGTTACTAGTCGTGTCAAGAAACAGAAGTGGTTGGAAGGGCACGGTCTGTACGGAAGGAAGTGAGCCACTGCCTTTCTCTGAAGACCACAGCAATCTTTTGCCCATGTTTTGATAGCTATTTTTGGAGTAGTTGCTTTGCTCTTACTTCCAACCAAGATTCTTCCATGTTACTGAACTTGTTGGCATCATTTACAATTTGATTCTATACAGGAATAAAACTGTAACTCATCCTGAGTGTTTGCTATCTGGGCAGACAGCCACTGAGCTGCCCAACTTTGTTAGGAGCCAAGTGCCATCTCCATTGTCCATAACAATGATCTGACTTAAGCATTGAGTGGTCCTGCATTATAGATAAGTAAGCAGTAGAAGACCTGTCAGAAAATCTCAAATTTAAAAAAAAAAATCTGTATACGTTGAAGTCATTTTAACCCATTACACTTCAATTCTCTCATGTGCCTTGAGAATTTTAGAGGTACGTTATATGAACTTGTCCCATTAATTCTAGGCACTTTCAAAAATAGTGTATTTCTATCAAAATATACATTATGTCTTGAGAGCCATGGAATACGAACTTTAGTTTGTTATTTCAGCTCAAGAAGCCCCAGCATGGGCACCTGAACAAGGTGCTCGTATGGAAGGACGAAGACAGGACATGGCAGCCTCTTTTCTGAGTTTCAGCATCTCATAGGTCAATTCAGATCTTCTGTCAAAATCAGCCCAAACACAGTTCCTCCCAGAGGAAAGAACTCCCCCATAAAGTTTAATTAGGTGTCTTCCATCTCAAATATGTAGCAGTCAATGAAAGTTTTTTGGTTTGCCTTTTAGCCCTTTTCTTGCATCTGGATGACAGTTGGGTAGGATCTCAGGTTGAAAAGGTTCTGATACTTGCAGAAGCATCATGTGCAAAGCTAAAGTGCAAAGAATGTGCTCATGGTGCTGTTTCCACTGAAGTCCTACAGCAGTAAAACTTCCTTTTTAGTTGAAAAAGGAAATCAAGTCTGTAACTCATCAAAATACAGTAACTCCTCTGTACAGCTCTTTACAATAAAAATATAAATTAAGAAAAAAAAAGAAAAGGTAAGCACTTTGAAACTGGGAATCATGCTCATAGGCACATGTATGACTACTCTTTGGGGAATACTGTATTTACTCATTCATTCAAGGAGATACAGTCTCATGTATCCCAGGCTGACATCAAGCCTACTCCCTGCCTCAACCCCCAATTTCTGGGATTACAGTTTACACCATACCTGGTGGAAACTTTTATTTTTAAGCCAGTTATTATGTCAGGCTTGTTTGTAAGGAAAGATCTGGGCACACAAGTGTCCATGGCTTGAAATATCTCTTGAATTTGGAACTTATAATGTATTTTGGTTTGTGAAGAAATAGCAACCATGGTTTCCCTCATTTGTAAAAGTGGTATGCGCTTAGCATAGTCCTAGCAGAGGTTCATAATAGCCCAGTAGCTATGTACATGCACCCATATAAAATGATGCTAATTGAAATTAATTCCATGAGATGGAAACGAGAGTTTTTTATTGTTGTTGTTAGTGTTATGTTTGCAGTTATTTTTTTCTCCACCCCCTCCTCTTGTTTATTCCCTGTAGTCACTGTTTCTGATTTTGGCACCCTTTGTCTTGCATGTGTTTATCTGATTTGGGGAGGGGAAGGGGAGTCACAGAAACAGTGGAACTGTAATGAGCTGGGAGCCAGACCATCCATGGAAGCACAGTTAAAGGTGACAAAAGAATTTTATTTACACTAGAAAGGGGCCTGCGACTGCCTTGTCCTGGGCTATCTACCCAGAACCAAGAGCAGGCAACACCTCCAAAGCTCCAGGACAGCCTCGATCTTTATTCAAAAACCTCCTATTAGTTGGTGTGCAAACCCTCCAAACCTCCAAACAAGCAATCTTGATCTTTATTCCTCCCTTCCTCCTTCTGTGCAGGCCTCTCACCTTCGCTCATGCCCCAGGCCTCTTGCCTTCCTGCAGGCCTCTCTGAAGGCTTCTCCCCTTCCAGCAGACCTCTTGCCACTGCTCTCTCTTTTCTCTTTACCCAAGTCTCTCTTCTGTTCTCCTTTGTCTTCTCCACTACCATACCATACCCCCCTCCTTGGAGCACACAGCCTAAGTATATGCTGTGCCCCTGCTCCAGTCCAGTGGCCATTCTCCCATTGGCCCTGCCCCAAGCCACCCACTGCCAACTGTTCTTCCCATTGATGTAGCCCCAAGCCCAACCCCTCCTAGATGGGGGTGTGGCCTGGCCCACGGGGCAGTGACATGGTGGGGGTGGGGGGGGGGGTGGGGGGGGGGTAGGGGGCTCTGTCCCCTGCTGGTTATTATGGAACAAAGAGTGCAACAGTGATACTCACTAGGCACCATGATGGAAATGAACCTTATTACTTGGGGAGAAGGGGATTTGTGGAGGAAGAAAACTAAAAGAAAACAAAGTAGGGGGTAACATTGTTTGAAAATAAATGTACTCATTACCTTACTTACATAACTGTAACCCCTCTGTATATCACCTTTACAACTAAATTAAAGAAGAAATAGTTTAGCAAACAATGTAAGTTTGATTTTACCTATTTTTTTGTAGTGTCCTTTTGAGAAGGATGGCACTTTTTTTTTTTTTTGGTCAGTCGTGGGGCTTGAACTCTGGGCCTGGGTGCTGTCTCTGAGCTCTTCAGCTCAAGGCTAGCACTCTACCACTTGAGCCACAGAGCCACTTCCAGTTTTCTGAGTGGTTTATTGGAGATAAGAGTCTCATGGACTTTTCCTGCCTGGGCTGGCTATGAACCGCGATCCTCAGATCTCAGCCTCCTGAGTAACTAGGATTACAGGCATGAGCCACCGGCACCCATCAGGATAGCACTTTTTAATGATGAGCATCTTAGTCCCTTTCCTGTTACTATAGCAGAACACCTGAAACAGGGAAATTCATACAATGCTGAAAGTTCAGCTACTGCATCTAGTGCATGATACTTCATGCAATGATAGACAGACATGTGCAGAAGAGAAAGAAGGGGGCCAAACTCTTGAGGCAGCTGACCCATTTCTCTGAGAAAGGCATTAACTTATTCATGGAGGCTCTGCCCATCACCTAATTATCTCCCACCAGGTCTTTCTTCTCAGCTCTGCACTAAGGAGTTAAGGTTCAAACACA